GAGGCCAAGTGTACTACGCGAGCCTGGCGACGCTACTGCGGCTAGCGCAGGAGGAAGTACCGTAGCTGGATGTGCTTCGCTCTGCCCTCAAGTCGAGGCTCCTGACACAGGAGGATCATGGCCCCGTTGTCAGCGTACAGGACTGGTGCAGAGCTAGGCCGCTCTCCTAAGTCACTGAGATGGAAGGGCAGCTAGCGGTGGAGTGGAGACATTAGACAGGGAGACCACGGTGGACATGCGCAGAGACAAGCCACGGGATGAGAACGTCAGGCACGTCGGCCTTCCGCTCCAGGGGGAACACGGTGGTGTAGCGCGTGTAGTCGTCGACAAGCACAAGGAAGTAGCGCTCTCGACGCGGCCCATGGACGGGGGCTGGGCCCCAAACGTCCATGTGCAGGGTCTGTAGCGGTGCAGTGGTAGGGGGGAAAGAGGAGGAGTGAGGGGCACGGCGGAGCCGGCCCTCGACAAAGGGCGTGCACAGTGGTGCTGGGGAGGAGGGCAACTCGGGGAACGACCCTGGGAGACCTAGGACAAGACCGTCCTGTAACATGCGACGCAGGCGCTGGAGGGCGGGGTCACCTAGACGGTGATGCCACAGGATTGTCGCGTGAGTGAGCAACCGACAGGATTAGGCCGCAGAACCCTGGGTAGACGCAGCCACCTGAGAAGACGTCCCTACCAGGGGGTCGTAGTGTCCAGTGTGAACAGGCCGGACACCGAGTCACGGGGGAACGTGGTGAGGGGGGCACCAGAGGCGGCCTCATTACAGACAGCATACCGCTCGTGACCAGGGAACGTAGTGGTGACGCCAAGGCCTTGGAGGTAGCCGACACCAAATGGTTCCTGGAGAACGAGGGGATGTGCAGGCCTGTAAGATAGCCCAAAGGAACCGCCGGACAGGGAAGGGAGGTGGAACTGCGAGCGGCTACCGGGCCAGAGGAGGGGTCGGCAACAGAAACTGCAGCAGGAGTAGCAAGAGGCGTGAGTATAGTGGAGTCACGGAAGAAACACCGAGAAGCGCCAGAGTCGAGGGTGAAGGAGAGCGCAGCGGTGGCATCTGAAGACAGAGCAGCGACAGTAGAACCTAGGCTAAACAAAGCAAGGTATCCTACGCCTAACGCAGCAAGGGAGGCACTAGGCAACAAGGGGTAGTAAGAAGCAGTCACACTAGAGTCATCGGCATACATCACATGCAGGGCAGCAACAATCTCATCCATGTCCATATCAAAGATATGAACGCTACAACGAAGCAAGCTATGCCAGTTGGGGAGGTCAGGCGTCGGGCCGAAGCGCTGACGAAACAGATCGTCCAGGCGATGAAAACAGCGGACGAAGGTATGACCGGTCTTACCGCAAACAAAACCACGGCGAGGACCAGTCTGGAGCTGGTATTGACAGCGCGCGTCACCCGACTCGCCATTCGGCAGTCCACCACGTGCACGACCACCACGTCCACCGCCACCACCAGCGCCATGCCACCCAGGCGGGAGTCCACTCGCCCGCCTCTGCTGCTGCGGCTACTGAGGTTGGTGCGAGGGCTGCTGTTGCGGCTGGTGCGTGTCGGGCTACGATACCTGCGGCTGCTGAGGCGGCTGCTCGGCTGCACCTGGCAGGGTCCCCTCGTCAGTGCTACCACTAGGCGACCCGGCTACACCACCACCTCCACCTGCACCGCCACCCCCACCGCCGCGCCCAGCCTTGGGGCGGCGGCTCTTCCCGGAACGGATCTACGCTGCAGGTGTGGACTTAGCCACAGCAGCAGAACCGTCGGAGAAGGTGCACTGAGCGGGGGCACAACCCTGAAAGATAGGGACCGGCACAGTACCGCTGGTCTGGGCGATAGAGCGCCGACGGGTCTCTATGGCAGTCAGGGTATTGACAATGTCAGTGAGAGTGAGGTCACCAGGGTGGGTGCTAAGGAAGTGGTCACGGGCAGGAGCAAGACGATCAGGGAGGCGGGTGGCAAGCAGGTAGAGGGCAGAGCAGAGGGGCAGCTGAAAGGCTCTAAGCTGGGTCTCAGTGCAGGCAGCACGCCAGGTCGCGTCTATCGTGCGCAGGTGAGCGGCTAAGTCAGCGACAGTATGGAAGGACGCAAGGTCAGAGAAGAGCATCGGCAGGATCAGGCGACCTACAGAGGCAGCAGGCAGGGTGGAATAGCGATTGACGATGGCCTCTAGAAACTCCTGCGCAGTCGTGACTGAACTAAAGCGTGGGCGCTCAGACAGGGGGAGGGCATGACTGATCGCAAGCTGCGCGACAGCGTCACGCGACAGCCAAACTGAGCAGGCAAGGGCAGCAGCTGCAGCGGACTCACGGTCAGCGGACGAGGGGTCAGCGGGCAGGGGAGCCGGGGGGTCAGGGCAGGGGAGCAGTCAAGGTGGACCGCCAGGGAGTGGCCGTCCTGCCGCTGACAAGTGATGTGACGCCGGAGGTCGACTAGCCACGTGTCAATCTCGATCGGCTGTCCCTCTGCGTCGAAGTGGAGCACTGAGTCCGCCATCAGGAGCGATGCAACAGCGGCGCTGTGCTGCACGGTGCAGAGCGGGGCGGCACGGGGCAATGCAGTGCTGCGCGGTGCAGAGCGGTGCAGTGCGGTGGAGTGCGGTGTTGTGCGGTACAGTGCGGTGCAGTGCGGTGTAGAGCGGTACAATGCGGTGCAGTGTGGTGCAGTGCGGTACAGTGCGATGTAGAGCGATGCCGGGCGGTGCAGTGCGATGCTGGTCGGGAAAGACGGGCCGGGCACGAGTCGGGGGTGGGCCGGCGGCGAGACGAACGCGGGGCCGGCGCGGATCGGGCGTGAAGGGGCCGGCTACGGAGCGAGCGCAACGGGAGGTGCGAGGGGCCAGCTAGGGACGGGCGCGAAGGGCCGGCGAGGGACGGGCGCGACGGGCCGGCTGGGGACGGGCGCGACGGGCTGGCTAGGGACGGGCGCGTCGGGCCGACTAGGGACGGGCGCAACGGGCCGGCTAGGGACGGGCGGGACGGGCCGGCGAGGGACGGGCGCGACGAGCCGGCTAGGGACGGGCGCGACGGGCCGGTTGGGGACGGGCGCGACGGGTCGGCTAGGGACGAGCGCGACGGGCCGGCGAGGGACGGGCACGACAGGCCGGCCAGGGACGGGCGCGACGGGCTGGCTAGGGACGGGCGCGATGTGCCGGCTAGGGACGGGCCGGCTAGGGACGGGCGCTAGGGGCCGGCTAGGGACGGGCGCGACGGGCGCAGAGGGGGGGGGGGGGCTAGGAGTGGGTGCGACAGCTCAGAGGGCGGGCTAGGAACGGGCGCGATGGTTTTGGGGGGGCCGGCTAGGACGGACGCTACGGTTCAGGGGGCCGGCTAGGAGCGGGCGCGACGGCTCAGGGGGCCGGCTAGGACGGGCGCAACGGCTCAAGGGGCCGGCTAGGGACAGGCGCGACGGCTCAGGGGGCCGGCTGGGAACAGGCGCGTAGGCTCAGGGGGCCGGCTAGGAACAGGCGCGACGGTTCAGCTGGCCGGCTAGGAACAGGCGCGACGGCTCAGGGGGCCGGCTTGGAACAGGCGCGACGACTCAGGGGGCCGGCTAGGACGGGCGCGACGGCGCAGGGGGCCGGCTAGGAACAGGCGCGACGGCTCAGGGGGCCGGCTAGGACGGGCGCGACTGCTCAGGGGGGGTCGGCTAGGATGGGTGCGACGACTCTTGGGGCTGGCTAGGACGGGCGCGATGGCTCAGGGGGCCGGCTAGAAACGGGCGCGACGACGCAGGGGGCCGGCTAGGACGGGCGTGACTAGCTAGGGGCGGCGCGACGAGGGCCTAGGGCGGAAGCGTGGGCGGCGGGACCTACCTATCAAGCGTGATACCATCTTAACGTAGAAATTGAATATCGAGAGTAAAGCAGTACAAGGGTATAAGCCGAAGAGTTGTACCCTCTAAGATATGAACCTATACAGTCTATACAAACATAACCTATATATATATATGTTTGACACTTTTGTAATACCTATCCAAAATCCATGTCTTATAAACAGAGGACCCGTTTATAAGAAAAACACCCAGATTATATGTTTGATTATATATGTTATATAATTGTAGGCTTGGTAGGTATTATTGAATCCTACTATAGAGGGTACAACACCCCTCTTTGTATCGCTCTCTCTTCTATTCTCGATCTCTCTTTTCTCTCGTCAACCTCCTCTCTAAGCTCCTAAATCCTTACGCCATTTCATGACCGCCTACCGTTCCTAGCTACCTAGCTCTCGTAACATAATATGCCATGGGGTCTTCTATTCGCCTCGGTCTTGTATCCGGGCGTTTAAAGTAGCATTTGTGCACCCATTTTGAGACATTCACAACTGTTTCATTATTTTTGTTGCAGACATTATTGTTGGGGACATGTTTGTTGATCTGCCATCCCATTCGCTCTATTTATCGACGATTGGAGTGGCAAGATGCATTCTCGTTTTCAACTACATTTGTGGATACGTAAATATTGTTTTTGTTGTGAAAATAAAACTGTACTTAATGACCATTTCGGGAGGTGGATAACACTGTGCACACTTAATACTGTTCATGCGGAAATCACTGCTCATATTAGTGTCCCGAAAAGCGAAACCAAAATGTATAGGGTTGCTACGCAACCCAGAAATGTTACATGCCCTTAGTTCTGGATGGTCGAGAATAGAAGTGGAGAGAGGAACTGGGCAGGAAAGTGTCGGTGGGCTCGTGACTGAGGCGCAAAGGCTGTAGTTTGAATCGGGTTACTATGTCGCTTGAAACTCTTTCGTTTTCTGGATCGCAATTTTCTTCGCGAGGGGCATGGTTTTGACGAGTTAGAACCGAGGCGAACACATGTGTGCGGCTCGCGAACAGCTGCGAAGAACAGAATTCGTAATGACAGGATTTGATTTGCTCCTCCAAAGCAGTATAAGTCGAAGGGTGTGCCAGTGGGAGGAGCAAGAGGGAATGACGAAGATCGGGAGGGGTTCGATTCGAGGACCAAACGACCCACGATTACCTTTCTTGTAGGGCGAATTTATCAATTACACCCCGTCTCTGTTCCTCGGCTCGACCGAGCTATCAACTCACCATTGCCATTTGCACAACACCTTGAAATCTTGAGTACCTTTTTCACCACCGGAGCTTCCCTTTTATCAACGGTATTTCAATAGACGAAGCAGCTAAATTTAGAATGGGCACGGGTCTGACGCTGTACGGCAGCGCGCACTCGCCGTTCGTGCGTCGCGTGCTGATGACGCTGTTCGAGACGGGCGTCGAGGTGAGCGGATCGGATCTCCATGCAGCGTACCGCATTACTGCAGTCTGATTTACCTGTCAGAATTTAGTACTAGCCAGCTTCGCGGCATTTATGGCGGCATCGTGATGCCGTGATGGGTGGCGTGGCAGGGCGTGGAGTTGAGGAATGCGCGCATCTCTCCCCCCGGCAGGGCTTCGAGTTCAAGGAGATCCACACGGCCAAGGGCGAGAACAGGACGCCGGAGTACCTCGCCATGAACGTGAGCGCGGGAGTGGGTGCGTGGGTCGGACGGGGGCGCGGGCGGGAAAGGGCGCGGGAGTGGGTGCGTGGGTGCGTGGGTGGGGGGGCGCGGGCGCGGGCGCGGGCGCCGGATTGGGTGCGTGGGTTTGACGGGGGAGCGGGAGTGGGTGCGCGGGCGAGGGTCTGACGGGGAAAGGGCGCGTGTATCGCCGCTGGAGGCGAAGCGCATGGCGCGAGGACGAGCCTTCCATGTGGGCGACGCGATGGCTCATCAGGAGTTCAAGCGCTCATGCCCTCGTGCGCTCATGCCCTCGTGCGCTCATGCCCTCGTGCGCTCATGCACTCGTGCGCTCATGCCCTCGTGCGCTCATGCCCTCGTGCGCTCATGCGAGATTGCTGTGATGGCGGGTGTGGATGGCGCGAACGGCCATGGCGAATGGTGTCACGGTCTGTGTGGCGAATGACGCCATGGGGACAGCAGCGCCTGCCATCGGCGCGCTCAAGGCGGACCACCATGAAATATGCTTAGACAGGCATGCGATGGCGTGACGGTGGCAGGGTTTGTCGTGTTATTTCCCCTCCATTCCTTCGTGCTGACATTCCCTTTTCCTGTTTGTTTCCTCCCTCTGCATCTACCCTGCTCTGTCCCCTCTGCGTCCTGTGCCAGCCCTTTGCCAAAATGCCTGTTCTCGACGACAACGGCCAATTCCTTTATGGTAGGAGGATGCGCTACCGTCTCATGCGAGATGGCCCATTCACCGTATCTGCTATCACATTATGCATTGCCTCGATGCGCTGGTACTAGTGATTTTCACAATGCCCAAAGTTGCCCCACAATGCTATTCACGGCACACCACGTGCACTGTGTGTCTCGCGCCTCTTGTCGCCTTACCATGAGGCACATGTCATGTCGCGTTCTATCATGCCGAATCGCGGGAGTCACTCGAGTCAGTTGCAATCTCACGGGTGTTGTCGTTCCGTGCATGCACGCACCTGTCTGTGCTGCGCAGAGTCGCGCGCCATCATGCGGTACATCGCTGAGAAGCACGCAGAGAGCCACCCCGACCTGGTGGGGCGGGACGCCTTGGAGCGCGCGCTGGTAAACCAGTGGATTGACGTGGAGGGGCACAGCGTGACGGAGCAGGTGGCCGTGGTGGTGGAGGAGTGCTTCCTCAAGCAACTCATGGGCACTGGCGAGCCGGACAAGGACAGGGCGGACGCTGCTAAGGAGAAGGTGAGGGGATGCGACAGAGGGTGAGGGGATGGGGAGAGGGTGACAGGATGGGGAGAAGGTGAGAGAATGAGGGAGAGGGTGAGAGGATGGAGCAGAGAGAGTACGGTTGCTGCCAAGGAGAAGGTACGAGGGTGGGGAGAGGGTGAGCTGATGGGCAGAGGGAAAGAGGATGGGGCAGAGGGAGGGCCGGGCCGAGGGTGAGCGGATAGGAAGAGGGTGAGAGGATGGGCAGAGAGTGAGCAGATGGGCAGAGAGTGAGCAGAGGATGAGAGGATGGGGAGAGGGAGCGGACAGGGAGAAATGAGAATGTCACATGCCCGTAAAATTCCACTGCCCATCTTGCCCCCGTAGGCAGCATCTGGTGGCAGGCAATGCTTCTCGTCCTTTCCCAACCCCCCGCCATCACCCCTCTCCCCTCCCTTCCGCGTGCAGCTGGCTCAGATGTTTGACGTGTACGAGAAGCACCTGGAGGGGCGGGAGTACCTGGTAGGGGGGCGGTTCACCCTGGCGGACCTCACGCACCTGCCCTACACTGATGTGCTCTTCCCTGCGGGCGCAGGGGACCTGCTCACCACGCGCCCCAACGTGGCGCGGTGGTGGGAGCGCATCACCGCGCGGCCCGCCTGGAAGAAGGTGCAGCAGCTGGGGCCCATCCCCTAGTGCTGCCGCTGCCTCTGCTTGCTTGTGTTCTTGTGGCGTGATTATTTTGAGTGAGTGCTAACAGTTGTATTGTATTGGTGCATTAGCCCTGAAAGTAGTGTGTGTCAACATATATTTGTAATGTTATAGGCTAGATACAGTAATCCCCTGTATAGAACTGTTAAGACTAGAAAGAATGAATAGAAGAAGGGAGTAACAAGATGAGAGAACTGAATGGTTTAGTGTGAGAGTACAGGTGAATATACCTAAGTGTTGTACCCTCTAAGAGGTGACCCTATACAGTCTATGCAAACATAGGAGATACACATGTTTGACACACCCCCTAGACTGCATAGGGGAATGTATCAGAATTGAATTTAATGACTAGAGGGAGAGAGTACAGGTGAATATACCTAAGTGTTGTACCCTCTAAGAGATGACCCTATACAGTCTATACAAACATAACAACTACACATGTTTGACACACCCCCTAGACTGCATTGGGGAATGTCCTGGACAAGCAGCTCAGGGCGGCACTACTAGTCCAACCTCTGAGACAAGGGTCTAAAAGACCAGTAAGAAGGAGTACAGACAAGGCAAGAACAAGAGCAGGGCGGCACTACTAGTCCAGCCACTGGAAGAGGACACAAGTCCAGTCTGAGTACACATATAAAGGACAGTACAAGTCAAGGCCCTAGCAAGTGAGAGGCTACAGGAACTAGACCAAGCTGTACACAGTGCCGCTGATGATCTTTAGGCGCAAGCGCCTTCGTAAAGATATCAGCTGTGTTGGCACCTGAGGCCAAGTGTATTACGCGCGCCTGGCGTCGCTGCTGTAGCTCGCGCAGGAGGAAGTACCGCAGCTGAATGTGCTTTGCTCTGCCCTCGAGTCGAGGCTCCTGACACAGGAGGATCATGGCCCTGTTGTCAGCGAACAGGACCGGGGCAGAGCTAGGCCGCTCACCTAAGTCAGTGAGCAAGAAGGTCAGCCAGCGGAGCTCCTGTGCCGCCATGGCACCAGCGTAGATCTCGGCCTCACAGCTGAACTGGGCAACAGACGAGGAGCGGGTAGCTCTCCAAGAGACGGCACCTGAACCCAGGATAAAGCAGTAGCCTTGGGTAGACCTAAGTGTCTCGGCGTCGTCTGCCCACGAAGCGTCTGTGTGTCCAGTAAGGACCACTGGCCTGCGTCCTCCTAGCACTAACCCCATGCCTGATGTACTAGCAAGATAACGCAAAACCCTCTTAGCGGCAGACCAGTGCTGCGGTCGGTGTCTGCCTGTGGCCACAAAGCGAGCCAGGATGCTGAGAGGGTATGCGAGATCTGGGCGAGTGCAAGTCATCAGGTACATGAGGCAACCCACCAGCTCTGCGTAGGGGCCGCTGGGCTCTACCGACTCCTCAGACACTGGAGCGGAGAGTCTGTGGTCTACAGGCAGAGGGGTGGGCTGTGCAGAGGAGAACTGAAGGCTGAACCTCTGAAGGACCTGGCGCACCAAGTGTGACTGAGTCAGGGTGATGGTGCGCGATGCTCTGTCCCTGGAGATCTGCAAGCCAAGGTAACGGCGCAGTTCTCCAAGGTCAGTGCACGTCTGTCTCTTCAGCAGCTCTGCCTTAACGGAGGCCAGTGCGTCCCTGTCCGCTGTGGCAAAGACCAGATTGTCGACGTAGACAAGGATGTAGAACGGAGTCTGGCCAGCACGAACGAAGAGTGAGGGGTCGGCGGAGGACGGAAAGAACTGCAGGTCAGCAAGTGTAGCACGGAGAGTGTCATGCCACTCACGGGGAGCCTGGCACAGGCTGTAGACCGGGCGCCGCAGGAGCCACTGGGTCCCAGGAGGGAAGGTGCCAGTAAAGCCCTGAGGGCGACGCAAGTAGACCTGCTCATGTAGGCTGCCCTGAAGGAAGGCAGTGGAGAAGTCGAGGGAGTGAAGCTCGTAGTCACGCTGGGCAGCTAGGTGTAACAGAACCCGAAGAGTAGTCATCTTCGGGGTCGGAGCGAAGGTCTGGACGAAGTCCACCCCCTCACGCTGACTGAAGTCTTTAGCCACGTAGCACGCCTTGAACACAGGCGGCTCTCCAGGAGGGCGCTTCACCTTGAAGAGCCAGCGGCCATCGACTACGTTCACCCTAGGCGGGGGAACTGCGTCGACGAAGATGCCGGTGGATCTCCAAGATGCCATCTCCTGCTCCATGGCAGCTATCCACTGCGAGGCCCAGGGTCCCGAAGTCGCCTCAGCGTAAGTGCGAGGGGTCGGGATGTCGAAAGCGTCTGGGTCACCCTCAGGGACTAGCAGCATGGAACAGAGATGGGGAGCAGCCTCGGACAGGAAAGCAAGCTCGAACTGGCGGTCCTCCAGGACGTCACTGCCAAGGGCAGGAGCATTCCCGACAGACGGAGGACAGGCAGGGTCAGAGACCAGAGCGGTGGCGTAGTCAAGATGGCGGGTAGAGGCAAAGTCAGCGACCGCAGCAACAAGAGCATCAAGGCACGGGACCGGAACAGACGGGTCGGTAACGAGAGAGGCAAGGACCCGAGGAACAAGAGGACGAGCGGCACGGAGGTAGTCAGACAGCGGGGGGGGTGCAACAACAAGGGAGGACGGAGGAGGCGACGGCAGAAGGGGAGGACGAGACGCGTGGGAACGAAGCAACATAGGGTGGGAGCGCAAGACAGGCGAGGCAGGACGGGCACGAGAGGGACGGTGAGACCAGACGTGCGACGGAGGAGTTGGGTCAGGAGACAGGGGAGGGGACACAGGAGGGGAACGAGGAGGAAGACGGGCCGGGGACGAGTCCGGCGGAGGGAACACAGGGCCGTAGACGGGAAGAGGAGGAGACGGTCGGAGAGGAACAGCCACTGGGTCAGGGGACGGAAGGCCGAGCAGGCGAAGGGCGGACACCGGCGGGGACTGCTGCTGCGGCGGCACAACAGCAACACCTGGACTGCAAGCTGCACCTCGGCTACCACCGGCAGACTCCACACCAGCACCCCCAGAGGAACCACCCCCAGGGAGACCGGGACTAGCACCCCCAGAGTCAACGAACGGGTGCTGGGACGGCGGCGGGGGCGGCGGCAGCGACACCGACGGCTGCAGCGGCGGCAGAGGCGGTGGAGGAGGGGACTGGGGAGGAGACGCAGGGGGAGGGGCGGCCGGCGAGGACTGCGCAGCAGGGCCACCAGAGTCAGAAGACTCCTCAACCGGGTCCACTGACGGAAGGGGGGTGACGTGGGACACACAAGAGGGGGCAGGACGGGGAGGAGGAGGGGGAGGGGCAGGGACTACCGGGGAAGGAGTGACCAGGAACAGGGGGGGGGTAACCGGGGGACCACGGTGGGGAAAGCGACGGTAGTAGGAGACGGACTCGTCAGATGTGACGTCGCGAGAGTGAAAGAAGCGGTGAGACGGCGGGTGGTAAAAGTGCCAGTCGGACGCGTCAAGGGGAAAACCGAGGAAGACGCAGGGAAGGGTGCGGGCAGTGAGCTTGTCCGTGCCGGAGGCACGGACGTGAGCAAGGCAGCCCCAGACGTGGAACGCAGACGCGTCACCAGGAGACCCAGTCCAAAGACGGGTCGGCGAAACCTGCGGCTGCTGAGGGTGCGGCCACAGGTTAAGCTGGTGAGAAGCGTAGCGCACAGCGAACGGCCACAGAAAATGGGGTGCACTGGCATGGATCATGGAGGTGCGAGCCACCTCCATGACCAAACCGATGCGTCGCTCAGCGACCCCATTCTGCTGTGGGGAGTCCTGTAGGGTTAACGTCTGGGTGATGCCCTCCGCACGACAAAAGCGACCAAGGACACCGGAGGCAAACTCGCCGCCACGGTCGGAGTGAAGACGCAAGACAGGGAGGCCGCGATGGACACGCGCAGAGACAAGCCAGGGGATGAGAGCGGCAGGCACGTCGGCCTTGCGCTCCAGGGGAAAGACTGTGGTGTAACGCGTAAAGTCGTCGACAAGCACAAGGAAGTAGCGCTCGCGACGCGGCCCAGGGACGGGGGCGGGGCCCCAGACGTCCAGGTGCAGGGTCTGCAGCGGCGCGGCAGTAGGGGGAAACGAGGAGGAGTGAGGGGCACGGCGAAGCCGACCCTCGACACAAGGCGTGCAAGGTGGGGCTGGGGAGGAGGGAAACGCAGGGAGAGAACCTGGGAGACCAAGGACAAGACCGTGTGGGACATGTGACGCAGACGCAGGAGCGCAGGGTGACCTAGGCGGTGGTGCCAAAGGAGAGTCGGGTGAGTGAGGGACCGACAGGAGCAGGCAGCAGCAACCTGTGTAGACGCAGCCACCTGAGGGAGCGCTCCAGCTAGGGGGGTCACGGTGTCCAGAGTGAACAGGCCGGACACTGGGTCCCGGGGAAACGTGGACAGGGGGGCACCAGTGGCGGCCTCGGTACAGACAGCATACCGCTCGTGACCAGGGAACGTAGTGGTGACGCCAAGGTCCTGGAGGCAGCCGACACCAACTAGGTTCCTGGAGAACGAGGGGATATGCAGACCTGTGAGAGAGCCCGAAGGAACCGCCGGACAGGGAAGGGTGGTGGAACTGCGGGCGACTACCGGACCGCCGGAGGGGTCAGCAAGGGAAACTGCAGCAGGAACAGGAAGCGGCGTCAGGGTGGTGGAGTCGCGGAAGAAGCACCGGGAAGCGCCAGAGTCGAGGGTGAAGGAGAGCGAGGCAGAGGCGTCTGGCGACGGGACGACGGCAGAAGCACCAAGACTACACAAAGCAGGGGATCCTACGCCTGACGCAGCAGGGGAGACTAAGCTAGGCACACCTACGCTAGCTGACAGTGAGTAATAAGGGGGAAGCACACTAGAGTCATCAGCATACATCACATGCAAAGCAGAAACAATGGCATCCATGTCCATGTCAAAAATCTGAATCTGATGACTAAGCAAACTGTGCCAGTCCGGGAGGTCTGGCGACGGGCCGAAGCGCTGACGAAAAAGATCGTCCAAGCGACGGAAACAGGGGGGAGTGCAGTGACCGATCTTACCGCAAACGAAGCCGCGGCAAGGACCGGTCTGGAACTTGTACTGACAGCGCACGCCTCCAGAACCACCACTCGGCACACCACCACGCGCCCGACCGCCGCCAGCACCGGGCCACCCGGGCGGGAGGACACTCGTGTGCCGCGTCTGCGACTGCTGCTGCGGCTGCTGCGAAGGCTGCGGCTGCTGCGACTGCGGCTGCTGCTGCGGCTGCTGCTGCTGC